CCCCCCCCCCCCCCCCCCTCTTGCAGAAATTAGAAATTTTTTGTTGACGTCTGCGGTGCACCAGCCCCTGGTGCCACACCTTGCGTGACGTGAACTGTGTGAACACCTTCAGACTGCCCCAACTTGTGTTCTATGAAACAAGCATAATTAAAATAATACGTTAGATTGAACTGTAAGTACTATACACTACTAGACAACCGCGTTCCAACGTCAATAACGTGTATTTAGTGAGATGTGCACTTTTTCATTCCTATATGGCGATTTATCAGGTTGTCGTTATGCATAATTTGATTTCGCTATATGAATATTTACAGTCTGTATGAAATTTTAATATAAATGGTATTTGATTGCAGAAAAGTTCATCTTCAGGAACGTAGGCGTATTATGTCATAGTGCGGTAAAATATCGAGTTTTGCTGATACGAGTTTCATCGCTTTTAACTACACGTACGAAGTCCAATCCTCTGTTCTTGCTAGTCCTTTCTCGCAAAAGCGGCCCCTAATTGAATATTGAGAAACTGACAAAGGGGTGTGGTACAATGAACATCCTACATCAGCTGAGGATTCATGGAACAAATCCAGGTTTTGATCCGTTGGTCGCCTGTGGTAGCGGCGCTTCCAAGCACTATGCTTCCGTGACTAATTTTGAGCTTATCTCCGACCCCATCCATTACACATAGCATAACAGTCGTTCTTGCTCACCAGCAATTCATGCTTAAGGCTGTTACACATTCTTATTCTTTACCATGGCAGGGCACTTTTTAAAGGGATCTAGTACGATTTCGAACTACTTAAGTGCTTCGGTGCCGAGTCACTTTTAAAGTACCTCCTCTAAGATTTTAAAATAATTGAAGTTATTTCTAGAGTTAAATAGCTCGAACTGGTAAACTGAAGCAAGAGATAATTCATCAAAAACGTACAGTCATAACAGAACAACTATCACATTTTGAGAAAATATTCACTGGGAAAGAACTAGCGGCAAGAGGAAACGAATTTTTACAAGCAACGAGGAAATTATATGGCAATGGAGAAGGAGTAATTGCACAGTATAGGGTCTTATTACGAAAAGGTAGGTTCTACTAGAGCGACAACTGCCATATAGCGACCACATAAGAGACATCGGTACGCAACAGTAACGAAATGTTAGAAGTGGTGTTTCGGAGACTTTTCAGGAGGGGCACATACACCACGTAACTTTTGTACATTGTACATGGCACAGAGTAGATGTTGTGCATACAGTCGAAAAAAAATCAAATTAGAGATTCACGAGTACTATACTACTCTAAAAAGAAATTAAAGCTCTGACGTTTGGTGAAGTTGAGTGGAAACGAGCGATGACAACTGAGGAATGAATCAGCGCGCCGTCGCGTAAGGAGTGAATAAGCTTAGATTTGCGGGAGTATGTAGAGAGGGACGAGACAACTTTTGGTGTCCGAAAGAATTTATGGTACAGTAATCCAACACAGCCTCGGTGACTAGTTGATCCATCTGACTTTTGTGTCCCTGGCTAAGACCTTGTAGTGGCTTCTTTAAACTGAAGATATTCAAAAATTCTAAAGATAGAGGTGACATAGCCATTTTACGCGACGCCCCACTCGACCCTGTATGTCAAATTGGCAAGACAGCGCAAAAAAAAGGCAGAGGAGCGAAACTCTACATGTCCACCACAAGGACGTAATATAAATGCAATGATTATACTGTATGGCTTATCTAAAGAAAAGTTATTTCGGAGTTCTATATTAACAAACAGCTTTAAGGTATAGATTATGCGGCTATGAAAGCACTTTTAGGTCGAATATAAAATAGTACTACTCTATTCATACCCTTTTCCTGTAGCTAATCGCTAATTCCTCAATAATTTGCTTCCATTCATCAATCCTTCGCCAAGACGACTTTCCATCCAGCAACACCACGATCGAATCCACATGTTAATAGGCTGCAATGAGGATGATCGTCTGCCCAAGCGGCACAAGAGACCATGCGTGAATGACACTGAAAATCAATGATGATGACTGTAACACAAACGAAGGGCTTACAACTCGCAGCCATCAGCCACTGGCACCATAGTGTTGGTTGGCGTAGCGCAAGACTACCAGTGGTACTTTCTATTTACATTTACAATTCCTGAGCGCAATCCTTCGCCTGATCAATTCAATCTTCATCCCACATCAAGAAATTAGTAACGTAGGTCAGGAGCCAGAGCGAACCGGGTCATGACTGGCCAAATGGATCGCTCTACCCTCTTCGCTCGTAAACAAGAGATTTCGAACGTGAAATAGAATTGAGTAAGGTTCCAAACTCATTCACCACGTATCAAAAGACTTAAAAAATGGTGATTCAGCAAAAAATGATAGGCTAGGTACAAATAAACGAGCAATGGGCAACAAATCAACTCCAAAGAGGGTAACGTTCTTTTTTTCGCCTTATTTTAAACGCAAGACGAGGGTGGGCGAATGCGGCACGTTACGCACGAAAAATACGGACGCGAAGGTGAAAATAAAATAAAACACGATAAAATGCTCACCCGTCTATTTGGAACACGAGGTAGCCTATTACCGGCCAAATCATAGATCCGTACGTGGCGATTATCAAGAGGAATGGCGATTGCACCATGAGTTCGGCTTACCTGAACCTTCAACGTTTTAGGGGATCGAAAAAGTGGAAAACTACTGAAAGCTGACCGATAATCGATTTGCTGCGGATGATAGGCGAATGGTTGATATTGCACTGCGCATGTTGCGTAAATCCCAGACCTGAAAAACGCAGTGATTACGGCGCTTACAAGAAAAAGTACTAACCAACCTTCACTGTTCGATCATCACTTCCTGATACAAGACGATCGCCAGTAGAGAAGGCTACAGAGGTCACAGAGCTAAAAATTTCATAGATTCACAATGAATTGTACCTGGGAATTAACAATTCTCGAATGTCTCACTCCTGGTGTCCTTGGAACACGGCTACAGACTGTATCGTTTCACGAAAATCCCAAAGACGAAATGTGGAATCCTTCGAAGCAGTAACGACGAGTTTCTGATTAGAATGAGCTGAGCAGTGATTGAGTTCCAACTCGTGACCACTCAAAATATTCAGGACTTCGCCACGTTCCACATCATAAATGTTCGCTGTACGATCCCAACTTGCTGTGATCAACTGGCTTCCACCTGAACAAAAGATTGGCAACAACGTTCTTTTCCATACAATTACACAATATCCATGAAAAAGCAATAGAATAAAATGTCTTTTACCTGCTAACCAATCGCAACCAATTACCACTCCTGTGTGGCCGGTAAGCCGCATCAACGTGTTCTTCACTCGAGCTCCTTCGACATTTGATGACTGCGCGGTATCGCCGTCGCCACCTCCACTGTCAACAGGTGCCTTCTCATCCTCTTCGTCGTCTGAGCTTAATACTGCGTGTTGACCGATTGTCACTCTCCAGATGTGCGCCGATTCGTCTCCGCTAGCTGTCGCTACGGTTAATTCGCCACCCGACTGTGACTCCGGTGATGGTGCGAACGCCACACAATTCACAGATCCAGAATGGCCAGTGTATGTATACAAGCACGCACCAGAGTTTAGTGACCATATTCGAGCCGTTTGGTCTGAATCGATACGTGAGCTCCTGTTAGTAACTGAGCAATAGAAGTCTACGATGGCAAACAGATACATAAGAAATGAACAGTATACAGCAAAAAGAAAGCTCTCCATGAATCCATAGAAATGAATGGTATAGCAGGGATGCTTTTTGTAAATTAATTACTAAATACATAAAATTGCACTGGTTGAGAGATTACTTAAAGAGAGCAACCTTCTCATCATCCCCTCACTGCTTACAACAAATTTTAAAAAGTTTTTTCAATATCCAACCTCGTTTTGATATAATCCCCGAAAGTAGTGCGAAAATCTATAATTCACTAATATCAGTATGCGAAGCACAGGAAGGACCGCCGCGCAAGCTTGAGCAGAGCTACATTTCTACGCTATGCCATGAACCTTGTTGCAAACAGGCGTTGTTTCAAGGCTTTCCAACTAACTGATAACATAAGCAGACGCTCAATACTGTACAAACCATATCGTAAAAATACCATTCAAAAACCTCTGAAAAGAAGGCATTAGGTGGAACAGAACTCAGATGGAAAACCTACCTGCACTTGCACTTGCACAAATGCTGCGAGCTGCATCTGCCGTTACGTGCCAAACGCCGTCACGATGGCCTTCGAAACGACGAGTGAGTCTGAAAACAGAAAGGCATTACAATAATATCGGCTTCGCTCATGAAAACGAAAGGGAAACAACAACTTTCATGCAAAACGCCGATCGTCATCGCAAATCAAAACAGCGTTACGAAATATTTTCTTCGTAATTCTTATGATTCCCACGAAGATAGAATGATCAAGCGAACTATTTCGATAAGATAAACGTATTGTAATTCGAAGAACATCTCAATCAAACAATGACAGTGATGAGCGGGACGATAATATGATGACTAACCGAAATCGCTCGCCATCGCTGCCTCCTACTTTGAACACAAGGCGCCCTGGAGGACCACGTAAGGCGGTTCGTAACTTCTGCCCGACATGCATTGCTGGAAGGAAGATAATCGAACTGGCAAAACGTGGCGTCAAACGAAATATTGGTAGCCTTCAACTATGTATAAATGTAGAAGCGATACAAAAAAAANAAAAAAAACTGAGTTCCAGGCTAAGAAAAATAACAGTTTCGTAAGCATTACGCAAATTGGTAAAATTGAAAGAACTTGTAAAAATAGCGATGGCAAAATACCTTTAATTGGATTTTTCCATTTATGCTAAATTTCGAATCGACGACACAAGATTTTGGGCTCATACGGTAGGTCATACGTTATTTATATTTAAATATTCATGAAAAATAAATATGGTATCATTAGAACCGAACGCTGATACTCAGACAGTCTCTATTGCAACATGTTTCGTCTAGCTTAATCATGAAAATGTTCAATGATCACTGCCAAATTCACTAGTCTGCACACCTCTTGAAAAAACTATAAGCACTACGCCACAGCGATAAGACAGTGAATACGATTGATTCACAGCACGTCATGTCCAACTAACTCACCTCAAAAGGACATAAATAAACATTTTCTATCTACCTTGAAAATTGGACTTCAATTGCATGATCAACGCCAACACAGGACTCAAGGTTTTGCAAGATTAGGGGCAAAGGAAGAAGAATAATAAAAAAATAAGAGGAACAGGTTGAAACGTCATAAGAGAACTCTCAGGAGCCTGTCAAATACAAACTTTCATATAAACGTCTCAACACTAAGTTTCGTTGTCACGGACTATATGCACTAAGCTGATCAAGAAATAGAAAAAAGGAATAAATATGAAGTGGAAGCTAAGCGCTAAATACCACAGCTTTCAGTGAGGAAGCGCGCCGAGACGATAACGATACGTAGGCAAAACATCTACAGTGGTGGTCTCTCTACGCTGTAAAATCAGCAAAGTACAGCTTTTGCTTAACCAGTGCGACACAAGTAGAGAGTCTCTCTACTTATTCACAGTAGAAATATGTTTCCCTTCACGCAGCGGATATACCCAACACCTTTGCCGTGGACAGGTGGATGAAAAAGCCTAGCCTTAACCATCTTTTTCTCAACATTGGTTACGCGTGTTTACCGGTATTGCCGCCTTTTCTTTTGTTTGTTTATGATTTGTTCGTCTTTGTGTTGCCAGCGTGAAATATTGGTTTCCTGAACCTCAAAGAAAGATTACTTACATGATTTTCCAGTCACGAGTGTGTACTCTTAGAAATACAATAGTAAGAAAGGAGAAATCTATGAACTGATCAGGTAGAGTGGCCTGCCCGACAAATGTCTGTCAAATAAACGAGTGTAGGCGACAATGAAAAAGGAGCGACGGCCCAGGCGCCAAATTCCCTGTCCTCGTCCATTTTTCGAGTTGCAAAAGGGAAGTTACCACTGCAATATGAATACTCATAGGTGGCAGACTATGCATCATAAATATGCACCCAAACTAATATTCCTGCAGTTACGCATCCCAGAACTCTGGCTTTATTTGTCTTGGAAAGTACCCATTTCGTGACTACGGCTCAAGAACTTGACATTGCACCGATTTCCACTTCGATGCAACAACAAATGGAATAAGAAGTCTTTCTTGGTTACTAATGTAATAAAAAAATAGGCACTTTGCAGGTGATTTCCTCCCGTTCGAAAGCTCTAGCCGAAGAACAACCGGAAAGTGAAGAAGAAGAGTAAAGAGTGAGGGAGACCCGTCTATGGTGTTATATCCGATGACTAACACCACCTACGATCATTCTACATTTCTCTATTTACTTTCCGTAAGAGCGAGTCACCAGTCACAGAGAGAAAATTTTGAAAAAGGATTCTCGCCGAAATGCGAGAAATCCTGCGCAGAATTACGAAAAATTTTGCACATTATAGTAGGGAAGGAAAGTTACGCCTCATTAAATTTCGTTCAGGAGAAGTGTTCAACGCAGAGATGACAAACAGTGAGCGAGGCTCTTGATGATATACAACCACCATCTATAAACGATGGTGTCGCATTTCATAAAAGAATAGCGCAAGTATAAAATCTGGTACACCAAATACGGAAAAAGAAAAACCATTAAGCGCGAAATTAGGAACTATTGCAAAGCAGAGGAGCGAAGAGTTATCATGTATGCGGAAGCGATTTTCATTCAAATTTGTATAAATGCCTCCCGAAATATTACTATGGAGGTATTGAGACAAAGGATTACCTAACAGCTCGAAAGCAATAGAATTCGATAAGAAACCGAACCTTTTCTCCCGCCACCACCTTTCATACTCTCGTTTGCTGCATTGAAGGACTCTGAATGCAAAACTGCTACATCGCCATCTGTGCCAGTCTCAAACGCTTCAAGTTTTGCACGGACTGAAAATTTTGATAAATTGGTAACCATTGAGGTAGCATTGAAAGTTGCAACACTCACGAGCGCAATTTTCAGCAAACAGGGCGTCGAATTCTTTATCAATCAATCCAAAGAGATGATATAACCTCGCCCTGTAAATGAATAAATAGACCTTTCATAAGTAAATTCATGCAAACTAGAAGCAGCTACCGCTTAACGAAGGCTAGTTACCGAATATAACAGGAGCACACGTTCATTTGAAGTCCTGGTCAGGGGTCATGAACGGAACTATTACTGAAGGTCGCGGAGAATCGAGAATCGTAGTTCCGTTCATGACCCCTGACCAGGATTTCAAATGAACGTATGCTCCTATTATATCCATGGACGAATAAAACGAGAGTACGATATCACGAGGTATGAAACGAACCCTTTCCTTTTTCATTGGAGANAACAAGAAGTTGGGTGCAGATGACTACACGGAACCCTCAAAAAGTGGTAGAAAATCAAGAGGAATCACGGTTATGTCATGGCCAAGGCAGCTGATCAAAAACAGCAAATTATACATAGCACGAGATCAACACTAGAATGAAGAAGATTGCACATTACTCTATGATTCGTGATGAGAACTTCTATTTCATGCCCAATGGGGAAAACACTGCAGACTTTATCATAATTGAGAATGGAAAAAAAGGAGTCATGCATTGGGTCTAGAAAGATTTAATTCTAGAACAATTTAACCACTATGTCTCTTATTTTGAAAAAGAACTGACCTGTGTGGTGCAGTGGAATCGCCTGCATCGTAATCCACTGGTGCAAGATCGGAATCAGTATTTGCTCGCGGCCGTGGAGGAACTGTTGGACGAAGCGTGGACATATGACTGCAAAACAGAGAACCCTCTCTATAAAACGAAGGGCATATCATGATCAAGTTTGACAGGAGGAAAGAAGGGTAAAACCCTTCGCAAGTCAAAATAACTTGAAATCTCCCAAAATGCTTTTATTTACATAAGAGCATGTGCCTAAATGTATAATATCTCAAAATGACGGAAAAAAGACCAAAGTGCTATCAATAGTATAAGCAAATGACGGAATGAGATCACATTTGAAACAAACAAACAATTATATCAACAGAAAAGAGAAAAAATAGTAACAGCAATTTTCAAACAGACCCATAAAACAAAGCCTGTCTTGAGCTTTCCAAAAAAGAATGATTAGAACGAAAATTAGCAAGAAACCTCATCCGGCTGCCTTTGCGTTATCAGCGCTCGCTACTTTATAGTCCAGATCAAAATCTAGAATCATTGGCGCATTCTGCCTGAGGAACGCGATTAAATCATGGAGGCACGCGATACGGATCATGAATTCGAGGTCGTCGGTCGAGCTCAAGCGGAGCAAAACCGGTAGCTTGACCAATAGACGAAGCAGATGTCCGAGACCATAGTATTTCGATGGACGAAGCATTTCCGGACGTAAAGGGCCTCCCTCCTGAACAAATTCTGTGTTACTCTGAAGACGCGACACCTTGCTGGCTTTCTAAGGTGGACTGTGTAAGTAACTATCAGCAGAATAAAATAACGCCTTCGTAACTCCCAAAAATACTTTCAGAAAAATTCCACACATGAAAACATAATAATATACTTATCTTATGAATTCTGTACTCAACAATGCTCACCAATAGTTGCAGTATCACTAGAGGCGGGAGCGACGGCCTCGCATCGCGAGCCTGCCTACGCCTTCGCCCTGGCGTCTCAGGTGTTTTCGTCACCTCTCCATCGAATTTCTCTTGTTCACGCTTCACCAATGCTTGGTACTGTGGTTTTTCGGATTTATACAACAGCTGGTAACCAAGAACGATATCGAAATAGTCTCGTAGATTAACTGCGGTTGCACAAAGTGAGTCTACACTTGGAATACGAGTTGTGCCACCTTCATGCCTGAAAAAACACTTAACAAGACATCAGCCAGAGCCAGCGAGTTTCATTTAGCTTTCATTCCAAAAGCACACCTCACACTGAAAAAATGTTCTCAATTTGAGTAGCGGGTCAAGCTTAAGATGAAGGCAAAAACTTATCGGTATTACCCGGTTATAATTTTTTTAGCATAATACCACGTTGGATGGATAGCTATTTTTTGCAAATTCTGCTCCTTAATATCTATAGATAACTGAATAATTCGATAGCTGGTTAGCCGAAAGAGGACTTCTAAGCACAGTTTCCAATCACAATCTCTATTTAAAAGTGAAGTAAAGGGCAACTTACTCTACATCAATTTCAACGTTCTTCGGAAATAAGTTCTTAGTGAAATCCTGATATTTCTCAATGATATTGTAGACAGTCACTCTAGCAGGTAAAACTGCTAGTTTCCCTTGAACCACAATGGCGTTATGCTCTTCGACCAGAATTTTTTTGAACAGAGTCGGCAAACTGCTCAGCATCTCAACGTGTGCGTCAATTTTTGGACCGAAAGAGACCGTGACTGGCTGGTCTGAAAAAAAAAANAAAAAAAAATAGTTACGATTACACGAAAAAAGTGTAACCAAACACAACTACAAACTCATAATAAACACGTATTTCGAAGAAGAGGTACAACTATCCTCAACGAGCCAGCTTTCATTTATTACGATTCTGAGTCCTACTCAGAGGAACGCATTGTTTGCAAATGATGAGGGCATTTAAGAAGCTTACTCAACAAGCTACTTTATCAATGAGAACCATTACCACCTTGCAAAACTCCGAATATCAAAAAGAACGTTCGATGGACTGTGGTGGAACGATCAAGCCTCAGATCCGCATATTTTTACTAACCCCATTTATCACGAATTATTGCGAGACATGACACACAGCTATCAGTATCTCACCTAGGTCACCTTCAGCACTTTTCTGCACTGTAGTATCCGGCGGCTTCGACACAGGACCACGACGATCGCTATGAACACTGGGCGCATGGCAACTGCTTCCTGATAAATAGTATTTTCACTGGCAGAAAAGAAAGTGAAATTTCAATAGAGGACTTTATGTTTCCAGCTCAACAAGGTTAGGTATTCTAAATAGTTCATCTGAACATCGATCGTTTGAAATCCAGCTACAATACAGTAATCGAATACCTGCACGGTCACTCGGTGTTGATGCTCGACTTCCATTTTCGCTCTTTCGAGCGTCTTCATCCTCCAACTTCTGTTTCTTACGTTTAGACTTCGCGGCACTAGCCTCTTGAATATCGGCTTTCGCTTTGGCAATGTTCGCATCGGTCAAGGGTAAAAACATTTCTGGACATTTTGATTGGCGAATACGTTCGTCGTATCTTTTGTGCCAACCCTGGTAATGTACAGTGTAGATCATTTCACCAGCCTCTTCTTCGACATCGGTTATTTTCGCCTCGTAAAAGAACAAGCCATGCTTGCACAACACTTTATCGTTCACCTCGTACCTAATTGCTCTCGGTGGCATACCTGAAATAAGAAATGGAAAATAGGCCGATCACGAAGATAATCCAATTCTTGGTAAGGGAGGAGGACGGACCAGAGTCTAAAGTTCCGCAAAAAAGGCGGAAGAAACTATGAGCTCTTAGTTATAAAAAATGATAAATACAGAGTAACAACATTGGGATATTAGGGTGGGACAGCTTGCAGAAAGGGAGCAGACCGAATCACGATGGGAGCTTGTAAATGACCGTCAAAAAGACTGGAAGACCTTTCTTACCAACACTGTAAGGTAACTACAATTCAAGTGTGAGGACTTATGTCATCTATAGCACATGAATTACTTTAGCAAATGATCCAGCAAAGCTTAAATGGGGGGGGGGGGGGGGGGAAATGTTCATAAAGCTTGAGAAAATCTCTACTCTTCCATCATCCATAATCAAACTCATCTAAACATTCCCTAATCTTCTGAAGAGTTATCTTATAAGATGAGAGCACATTTTCCCAAATACAATACCTACCACTGATCTATGATCTCCTTTATTCTCATTGACAATATATTCCCATAAATAATAAACTTTTCCTACGCATAGGTATTAGTGAGAATTTGTGATTCGTAGAAATTGGATAAGTTCAGGCTGCTTTCTCGCACAACTAACTGTGTAGGAAAAAAGACAAATTTGATGTGAGATATTCTAGTGACGGAGAACGGTTATTCAAAAGCGAAAGGGACTTTCAAATCGAGAATTTTTCTGGGTATGGCAAAGAAGAAGTGTAGAGGGAGTTTAAAGGATTGACATCCCATCAACTATACGGCTCACAACGGCCTGGTCATGATCAAAAATGAGCAGAAGTTTGTCAATGAAAAGAAACAAAATACATTGAACTTTTTATATGTCTCAAGTGGGAATTTGAAAAAAGAACTTTGTAGAAAACAAAGTCACAAAAACATAACAACTAAAGTCAAATTTGGCAGAGCGAACGATCTTGGTCCTTGAAAAATTAAGGGCGTGGCTTTCGGGCAATGATTACACTCCCCATGTCAGTCGAGCACACAACGCACACCGATGCCTCTTGAACTTGAGCGTATTGAAAACTCCTATTCCTCGTTTTCAACGAATTATACATCAGCTTTTCATTTATGGTGTTCCTTTTACTACAGTCCAAGAGTAAGAATCGTCTCTCACTCAGAATGAGGAAGAATCTTCAACTGGGAAGAATGTACACTTCAATTGAGATTTTTCCAGAGTATCGTGTTAGACTCTTTCAGGAATGCTCAATGGCAACGCGGACAATGGCCTGACTGTGGATCGATACTCGCTTATTCCTCTATACAACCGGCAAGATCTCAATGAAAAGTGTATCAAGCTCTTAAACCAGGTATGAAAGGCGCTATATGGTTGGAAACATCTCATTAGTCCCAGAATATTTACTACAGCAAACTATAGAAACTCCATAGAAATGATACGAGTCAATAATAACACAAAAAACCCTACTTTAGAAAGCTTTCCGGGAAAGTAGTCTAGTAAGCGGAGTGGTAAGAGCTTTGTTGTAAGGCAAAGTAGGAGTACGTCACATGACTTGCCAGTTATTCTAGAATTAGCTATGTGGGAGACATTGTAAATAAGACGGCGACTGCTCCATGTATCTGTGAAGTAATAAAATAGAAAGATGAGAGGACTTTCTCGGAAAATCGGCAGGTGCTGCGTAAAACGCCTTGTGTCACCCGTGCAATTACGTACTCTAGGAGACTACCGTAAACTCTAATGCATGAGTATAGGCTGCAGCTGTGAGGTCGGCATTTGTGAAGAGGTGGGAAGGGAGTGAACTTCAACCTAGTTGTATGGGTTCGTCTTTGTCTACCATCTGGGACAAAAACGATTTGATTGCTAGAGTTTTCCAATTGCCCCTGAGTCGAGAACTTCATTCATCTGTTCTATGTTTCAGTTATGTAGCCTTCTTTTATAGGAATGGCCTCGCAGTGATGGTGCACGTGAACACTCTCAAGCAAAGTCATGTCGCCTAACTCCTCCCATGTCGTTCCTTTTGATAGAGAACAGTACGGATCAACTGATTGGTCATGCAAGGATATGCCTTCTTCCGAACAGGTAGGTTGAGTATTGCACCAGGAGGAAGTTACGTAGCCTATATTGCAATGTTGCTTTGGTCAGGGCAATTACGCATTCAAGCACCATTATATAATCTTTCTCTTCGACTCTTTGCAGGCCCACCGCTTGCTGGATCGAGTCAGTGATTGTGGAAAAGGAGTGCCGAGGACTTGGTATTGGGAAGCTGTTGATGGCATACGTTGAGGACGCAGCTAAGGGATTTGGGTTTGATGAGGTCCAATTTTGAAGCTATCAGTCCTGAAAAAATCAGTTAGCACTGGTACTGCTTTACTTCAATGCCTCAAACAGCCTTCTCCTATAAACAGTCCATTGCTCGGCTTGTCCTTTCTTCGAGTTGAGGATAACCACTCAAATTCCAGCGTTTTTGTTGGATTAAAAGGCCACTGCTTAGGTAGTTATTCATCTTTGAGCGGCGTGTAGCAACTAACAAGGTTGATCAACTAAGGTCTGGTGTAAGGCGAGGCAATTAGCTAGGAATCGCGGTTCGCCAAAGCGGGATCTGGGATTGCGCTACATCAACCCAGACTTCTTTTGCAATTTTCTTATCATTGGCTTGCAGGCCTTTCTCAGCACCGATGACCAAGTAATCTTCTACGAAAGATGCGGATATGAGAAATGCGATCCGATTCTTCACTCTACTACAGCCACATCCGTCTTTCCCGTACCGAAGCTAGCGGTATTTTTATATTTGCATTTAACCAGATCAACATAGGTAGTTGGGGAAGATTCTACTCCCATGAGCTATTGTCACCACTCTCACAAAATCGCGTTTTCGACGATGAACGCTAAGTTATTGCTAAACCAGCTTGACTAGATGCGAACTGCTCCTTTTCAGGATCCACAACCTCCTGAGAAAAGAAGCAAACCTCAACCAGAAAAGCAACCACAGTCGTGCGATACCGAAGCGTCATTACTATCGAAATCACCTTCATCACAGCCAGCAACAACCACACAAGCGGCTCAAGCTCCGCCCATTTCATTGGCAGCCCCTCCCAATCCAGTGCCGCCTCCACCCCCTGGCCCACCTAAAAAGGTGCCAGCTGCCCCAATATCAACTGAAGATCACCAGTACATGCGGAAAAAATTCATGTGATATTCTCTATGAACCTCGATCTCGTGCCGATACCAGAAGGTTTACTATCATTGTTTAAATGCTGCCGTTAATCGCGTAATCTGTCTTTCCGAATGAACGAAGCCTTATTAGGACTAGTGCCACCTCACTGTGGACTCAGAACTACTTCAAAGAAACGCACTTCGAAGAATTGGCAGTAGTTTGATCGCCTTCTTTCAGCCAAACGCTCAAAAGATGCACCAATCACCATTCGCCGCACCGCGACCGTGCGCATTTGTTTAATATTATTAGGTATTCGTACTGATCGGTTCAAAATGGTGGTGACCACCGACTCTCAAGATGGGAGAGGGCGTCTCTCATAGGAAATGATGATTATTGCTTATTTATAAATTGCTGATTTTTTACGTATTAATTTACACTGTACACATCGGCNGATCCGACTTCATTGTGGGTCCAGCATTGAATTTAGCCACTGCGACACTCCGGAATTGTTTATGGTTCAGAATATAACCGCAGTCGCTCTTCAGAGAACCGTCTATTGAGCGCATCTTCTGTCATAGTCTGTGATCACTACTCTGATAAACTTGCCAGCCATTCATGATGAAATACATAAGAAAAAGAGCTTTATGGTAGATAGATGTCAGCGTTAGTGTATTTAGCAGTCACTTTGCGGCTTCATCGTCACGCGCTGATTGTGTCTCCATGACGCGGTAGCGATAGATCACAGCCTGAATTCAGTCAATCGATTTTTCTAAAATTATAACGCACAACTGTTGGGTAATAAGCCAACGAATAAAGGAAAGTGAAGGTTTCCCGAGCTTCTTTGGACAAACCAATGTTTGTTGATAGCTCCTCAAACTGATTGAGTTGGAAGTAGAGGAACGAAAGAATAGGTAGGTGAAGCACAATGAGTAAGAACGTCTTATTCTCATGTCAGTACTAGAGCGGAAGTGGTCAGTGGCAAGTTTGTACTGTCATACACGCATGGTCCGAGTTCGAATCCTCGCCCAGGCCAACCGGTCCTTGCATCCCTCCGTTCGACTCGTCTCGGGAGGATAAGAGCATTAAGTTGGTCATCGGCTGGTCACCGCGAGCCATTATATAGGCCACATAGCATTCAATACGCCACTACGATTTTGAATGGAAGTCGAATGCGGAGCGCATCCTTCAGATGGGACTGATTTGCGTTGAAGACTTTGGCCTTCCACTCTATCGGTAGTAATCCCGATTAAATATTATCATTATAAATACATATTATATTACTCTTGTGTTATTTTACTAATGTTTCTTAATGCCAACTTCTGGAGATTCGTCATCACGGAGTTGAGTCAGCTGCATCTGCGAGTCAACTAGGGCGAAGTGTGTTGGCGAATCTGCTACTGTAAAAGGTCGTATTTGCTCCCAAGCGTCATCGAAGGATGGCAGACACTCGACTGCTGGCAAGCATCCCATTTTACAATCTTATTAGTATGTTGAAGATGTGCACCTTTTCTTCAAGGTCTTTCACTTCTCGTTCCACTGCTTCCCAAATTTTCTCACGGTCTTGACATTCTTTACGCATACGGAGCATTTGCGATTCTATAGTCTTCAATCGAGCTACAACGTTGAGAAGATTCTCGAGAAGGTTCTGGAAATACAACATTTACCACCTGAAACCCATCTCGTACAGATGAACACAGAATGATGTGATACTGTTACCATCCAATTTAGTATCACCGTCTACCCACAGCCCTTACTGTAGGCAATGAATCGCACTCTCCACCATAATGATTCAGGACCATGATGGAATCTTTTACGGCGGCCACTCGGCCTAACGGAATGGATTCTAGCTCGTTTCAAAAGTATCCAAGATTCGGAGCTGAATCAAGCGAAGCCTTTCGTCTTCGCCAGTCAACTCCGCTCTCTGTTGGATTTGAGCCACTGGCAACTTCCTGCAGCCAAAATAACCCCCTCCTCCTGGTTTGTCTCAAGCCTACATTTGGGTACGGCTGCTTCTCCCACGAGCCTCTCGCTGCAACTTCCACAGTTCTTCCAAACACTGAGCACATTACACTGTAGGAACTCACCGTATTGACGATGTGGGAAGAAGGAACTCACCTTGTCTTGTTTAGTCTGAAAATTGAATGAAACTTAGGCTAGGATTTGAATTCCAAGTCTGTGGAAGTTAACTTCTGATATGGTGACTATATACCAGGGGGGCCACGGCTGGCAGGCAGCTGGGCGGTAGTTTTACTTATTATCTACTCTATGCATACTATATTCTCTTGCATTCGGCTAGAACTACTTCTATGGATACAGGTTGTAAGAGGAAGCTTCAGCTTTGCGTTCCGAAGATATAAGTCGTAGTAGACGATCCATAAAAGTTCCCTTCAACCTAAAGGAGAGACTCACCATTCACAATCAGTTGCGAGAATAAAATGATCATCTCCTGTACTAAAACCATCTCCAAATCCTAGTTCAAACAATGTAAACAATGGATAATAATTCTATCAGCCAATCCTTTTCTCAGCTGATTCTTGTTACAGAACTGAATGAGAATAAATGTGAACTTGTTGGCACAGTGCTTGATGGTACCGTGTTCATCCTGTGTTCTGATAATGTTATATCCGTCTCGATCAATTTGTTAACTATTGAGAAGGAGCAAAGCCATAGATCGGCACGTTTGAGTTCGCGATTGAAGAATGCCGAACTCCAACACGTAGGTAGCGAGTTCTTTAGCTTCATGACAAGGTGAATGCCGACTTCCGAAGGATTAACTCGATCAGGAGCAGACCTCGTGAGCAGAATAAAAAAACCAACCGATTTATTAACTCTACAACTAGAAAATCTACAAGAAATCCATATAATGCCTTTCAAAAAGTCGATATTACGGACGTAAAACATAGTAGAAATGAGTGCGTAGAAAGCTATTGCGTCACGGAAATAACTATGAGCAGAAACAGGTGAAGATCACGTCGATAGGGCAATGGAACCAGAAAGATTTAGCTTTGTGATTATATTTTCGAATTTGGATTGGGGTTTGAAATCACACAGGAATGCACTCCACCAAAAAAGATCAGACAGAAAAGCCTAACTACTAGTAGAATGTACAAATGAATTCTACATATGTACATACTACACAGAAGCAAAATGGAGTCGAACGTTATTAATTAAAAAAAGAAAGGAAGTGTAATTTAAAATCCAAGGGGAACCCAAGAACACAAATTACTATCGATAACTCGTTGACGAAGCCCATTCAGAAGTTGATTACCCGTACGTGATGTAAAGGACAAACATATCCCAGGGAGTTCAATCAAAAGTTACCGCAACATTTAATAATCACGCAAGTTCAGAACGTATCCAAAGGTTTGCCAAAGCAGCAAAATACTTCCAGAAACGCTGGGTCGTAAAATATACGACTATTGCTAATTATTTTACTACAAAAAGTAGTATGATGGATACAATGCCTGGGATTCGGGCAGTGTTGAACTTGCTTTCTTGACCCTGCTCACCCTACGGAAATCGCGCACCATCTTCTGAATGGGCTACACAGGCAAATTTCAAATATTGTCATGCTTAATACCCTTACATAGATGAGTTCTCGGCAAAGACATAGCAGCAATTCCTAGCAATCCTCGAGTGAGGAAAACATATTACTGCCCTAAACACACCGTAAAAATATCAAAATGTACAAGCTATACATATAAATATACACATCGCTCTCGACCTTTTCGAAAATAGCGGCTAATACGGGGAATATGCAAAAAAGGATTACTTATAAGCTAATTATTGCTTCCGTGTTCAGAGAGTGAATAAGTTATCCAGCTAACATATTGGGGGGAATTGGAATAACACCCACACCCACACCTCCTTCATGGGATCCGAGTGGCGTCGATAACTCCCATTGATCCGTCTCTTCACGATAAACTTCCATTGAAGAAAGATTTGACATGCCATCGTAACTGAATGTTCCACGATATCTCTCTCGTCCAGAAATCGCAGAGAAAAAAGACCTACCCCGCAATAGCATATAGTGAGTTCGCATTCGAAACCAACGACACACGGCTACGTTTGATATTCATAGGTGTTACCGGTGACCATCGCATTGTTGCCGGATCAAAACATTCAACGCTATTCAGAAATTGGGCACCATCGTACCTAAACAACACCAGTTTTATAATGTTTATCGACTGCCACAGTAACACTTGAGCAACAGTGATAGCAATCTCCCAGCGCCACTCGGAACTCACCCTCCACACACGTAGATTTTCCCGTTCAAAGTTGTAGCGCCCAACCGACATCTTTTTGACAACATCGATGGCACAGCCTCCCACTGCCCTTTCTCAGGCGAAAAGCGTTCTACCGAAGAAAATATTGACATGCCGTCGTGACCGCCCATCACTGTAAAACCGTTACTATCAAAAGAATTTGTCTGGATTACTGTAATTAGAATAGAAAAAACTTTCAAATAAAATACATCATTTGAGTTTACTCGAAATAATGGCTTAACAGTTCTTGCCCCGTGATTATCGAGAATTTCTATCGAGGGCTTAGACCTACCGTACAGATATCCATCAAGAACTGCTACACCAGCTGCACTTCGCTGCTTTGTCATTGCTTCACCAAGCTCCCACGTATTTTTTTCTGGGCAATAAACCTAAACCGTGACCGATATTAACGAGTAATTAAAAAAATGTCGAGATTATTTTCACCTCCACAGTTGCGAGACTCGTTATGCCATCATAACCACCGCATACGTATAGCTTGTTATTGAAGAACGCAGCTGCAAGTGCTGAGCGCTTCTTTGTCAATGGTGCCACCTAAAAAGGTAAGAAGTTTAATTAATAGAATAGAACTGAACTGATACTAAAACCTTACCGGTGTCCATTCATTCTTATTGTAATCATAAGACTCAACTATCTTGAGACGATCATGACCATTAAATCCTCCTATAGCGTATATCTGAAGTGAGTAACCTTCCAACCTACTTGTTTGTACGAAGTCAAATCCAAACCAACCTTACGATCGTGAACAGCTATGCCCACTCTGGATCGGAAACTAGTCATAGAACGAACTGGTGACCACCGTTTTGTTAATGGATCGTACATCTCGACAGTAGATAAGGAGTCTCCCCCGGTAGACAGGCCACCTGAGAAAGCACACCGATAAATGTCATAGGAGTTTACTCTCTATACCATCGTGACGTCTCTTATTGAAATTCGCACGAACGTAGGAATATGGTCAACATACCAATTGCAAACATCAAACCGGGTACGTCATTGCAACAACGAGCCTTCGTTCGGAATGAACGCAGATACGGTCGTCGTTCCGGAATAAGGTGATAATCTTTCGCCTCGTCCACCTTGAAATTATTCGGACGCATAATAGAGATTTGAAACGTAACCCTTCTGAACCTGACGCGAAGCTCATAACGATACTCACAAGGTCTCTGCAGGCCAAATCTCCTCGGACCAGTTGATGACCTGCTACTTGATCGGCCAAGAACGACGGCTTCAATAAAGGAAGACGAACACAAGCAAGAAGCCTAAAACAGTACAACAATGAGATCAGACAACAACACATACGCCATATTACTTTTGAAAACTACTTTATTGGCAACTTTGAAAGTCTTTAAAACCCCTTCGTTCGGATCACGACAGATTCTAAGAGCAGCACGAGAGACATGGTACGTACCTCGAAGCGAACTTCTTTCGTCGCTCTAAATCATGCTGTATCCAACGAAATGCGGCTTCAAACACAGCTTCTTCAGACTCTACATAGAGGCCGTCCATACAAAGCAGTTCGACCACATCATCGACAGATAACTGATAGAATTCTTCGCTGCGACACACCGATACGAAGTGTTTCTGCACAAACCGATCTGCTGCTGCGACTACCGATCTAGAGGAGTACATCGATTACAAAACAGAACAAATCATTGAGACGACTGCTCTATTTTAAATTAAGAAACGAACCTGCATCCAAGAGCCGAACAGAATGCACGAATAGCTAGTGCGTTTGAGGGATGCAGCCGAGTTTGCAGGTACTCCGCGCATTTTTCAGCAACACCATCGAGCTAGAAGAAATGCTAAGAGTTACTGCATGAAGCGCATTCAGCATTTTCAAAAATTGAGATACTTAGCAGTTTGAAATTTATACTGTTTTCGATTAGATTATGAAGTTCAACAACGTTATTCATCTACATCTTCTCAAATCGGGCACGCTAGCAAAGCAAATTCGTGGAGAAAAAACCAAAGACCATTACAACGGCGGACTTGGGAAACGCTTTGACTACGGAAAAGAGGATAATCAAGTCGTCATGCGCTCAACGGCACCGCAATGTTATGAAAATCGGCTCCACTTAGTTTGAATTGTTCTGAGCACAGCTACAACATTTTATTGATTGACATTCTACAACGAATGAAAAAGTTACTTGAAGGAAATTCGCTCCAATCATTATCGACTGCACATTTCCTGCTGATATTCGTAGCTCACCACAATAAGCGAATGAAACGAGTTGTTCAAGGGTGTCATAATTAAGATCTGAACACAACTCATCATACTATTAACAGGAAAATTCTCTGCTACTACTTAAGTTCAAGTCTATCCATACTAAGAAATACATAACAGAGAAGGAGCAAATGGGCTCTGATGAGCTTAAAAGCCAGTACATATCAAAAAATTACCTTGCAAGACAACCTCGGTTTGGTTGGCCTCCAACATCTCCGTCGTAAACATGACTCGAAAATAAGGAATGGAAGCCGCCAACACAACCTGAAGCGATCACTTAGGACATAACTTTTTCCAAGAGCGAACAAATTATTCCTCTGAGTTATTACATTGAAAGGAGTTCCTCACAATACATGAAATGCCCTTTCTCGGAAATATTCTCAATTTGGGCATCAATGAAGGGCTTGCTAAAGTCTAGTCAAGCGTGGTGTTATAGGTGTAGCAGCGCAACACATATATGGATTGAGCAAAGCCTCCTCTGTTGGGCGAAGCATGCGCCGAAACCAAGAGAGTGAGAGTCAAAAAACTAGTAATTCGATTGCGACATAGCTCGGAAACCGGGAAAATCTCACACGAAGATAGAAGTTCAAGATAGGCAAAGATAGCGCCAAGATGGTCGATGTTTGTGCGACACACAACTTAACCAATATATATATGGGTGGTCACAAATTGGTAGGCTGACTCGGTTAGACAAATTTTCACCAGTACTGACTGAGAATATTCCGCTTACTCTGGAGTCTCAAAGAGGACCAAAATTTAAGTTGAGCGACTGCACCTATGTGAGTTGAGATTCTACAGAACAAGAACTGGTAAAAATTGCTCACCTTATGAGCACTGATTCTTTTTCCTTCCACAACAAGTACAATATCACATAACTGACCATTGCAACGAAGATCATTCAGAGAAGCAAAAGCCTAAAAAAAAGATATTTGAACTCCTCAAAAAAGATGTGTTCCCATCTACCTGAAAAAAGATTGAATGCACATTCGAAGGCACTCGAGCTCAAGAGATAGGAGCACGACGATTAACGTTTCAAACGTCGTACAAAACATGGAGACCTAGATAGGTCAGGCCGCAATGCAGTGTTCCGACCCGTCAAAAAAGTTGAATGAGTCGCGCCGCACTCGGAACATTCGCAGCAGTTGGGAACAAGCCATACCAAAACACTTTATTTACACCACTTCTACTTATTTACACCGCTTTTACCCCAAATAGAATAACAGAGAAGGACAATGAAATGGATACTCCCGTTCACGAGCCGAGATTTATTAGAATAAAGTAGCCCCAATGATTTCAGTGGGTATGTACAAACTACAAAACTAACTTCCGCAAGGCATACCTGGAAGAATAACGATTGCTTCTGATCAATGCAAATGATGTCATCATCGTCCTCAGTGCACAAAGTGATACGTAAATCGGACACTGAAATGGAAAAGTGCTATCCAGTTACAAGTTGGAACTAGAGCAAGCCAACCTTTCATGGAATCCGACGACATAGAGCAACGGTCTCTTGTCAACGGACCAGTCCGTGTGTTTCGCAAGTCCCAACCGAATAGAACCTAAATAAAGACAGATAGCCAGCTGAAAAAGCAATGTCTGGTAGGAGACAATATGGAAGCTGATAAGGCTGATATGAATCTGTCGGCTTCCTACAAAGAGTCTATTCACAAAAATCACACAGGTACCAGTCTACCAAATGCGGTCATCAGGTCACGGGTATGGTTGTCAACAGTAGTCGCGTGCGGTCGCGAAAGTTTCACGGAGCGTTCTCACTCCCCAACTATGTCGGCTTGGCGACGCTTCATGCCTTATCAAATGAATGTTTTTAGTCCTAAACAAGATCAAAACACTTGCCAAACACAGATCAACAAGATCAAACAGAGATCACCAGCAAGTTACGAGGTCGACTTACTTATTACTAGTAATAAAAGGTAATCCTCCACGACGGGATTGCAAAATGTTTGAGAGGCTATCTTGCTTTGGAAAGCACAATGGAAACAGCTCCCCACATCCCAAAAGCTGTACTCCTTAGCTAACAATGAGAACCAATGCTGATAAGTTAGTATGTGCCAGTTTCGATGCTCTGCTTTTCTGAACCACAGCACCCTGTCGGCACCAACAGGGTGAGATTGGCGCCCCCTTAGTGCGGCGCGTCTGATAACGATTTTATTTTTCATCAAAGCAATTTCTCTTTACTAAAGTAATTTCCATCTACATTGTCCTGTCCATCTTTTTTCTCATTGAGTCAGAATAGCTTTTTTCACAAAATATTTTGCAACTTTTCAATCTTTGGTCAGCCTCGTTTCACAAATGTTGAGGAGCATAATTCATGCGGAGCGAATGATTGTTCAAATATTAATTCACTTTTCAGTGTTGATACAAATTAGTCATATGAAATTCTACTCGAAAATGCTTAGCAGCTAGAACGTAGCTGAGTACAATCAATAATTCGTCCATTTGTAGTTTCCCTGCTTGTTTGTGTTGTTTGCAACTTCACAAGTACAACTTATAGAAATGGATGTGCGTTCACGTAAGGAGCCGACAATTGGTGTGAGCCGAAATCTAACCGAAGTGTTTACTTTACTTCGGTCAAATGCTCAACAAAACAAGTATATCTATATGAACAGCACCATGCCTAGCACAAATAGGAGCAGAGACATTGCCGGTGAGAGCGACTTTTTAGTTATGAGTCAATTTTTGTTGTCATTATACGAATTTGCTCTATTCGAACAGTTTTAGAGGAGAAAATGAGCCTAGTCAGCCTTGAAGAAGGTGGAGATCATTCCGATGACTCACAGAGGCAACCGATGTGGATTCATACCTGTGATGAAGTAGAATTCGAGTTTGGACGGTAGGTGATTTTACTGATTCTTTGCGTAAATGGTGCTCATAACGGATTCACAGTCGGCTTCTTTACTTTTGTTCATCAATTTTTCTCCATGGAAGAGTGTGGTTCTCAGTGATTTGCAGAACCTTTTCGATATTTTGACCTTGAAATTTTTTTGATGTTAAATTTCCTGCTAGCCGAATTGGCTTTATAGAGTTCGGAGTCGTGTCGAGGAGTTGGCCAATGCGCAACAAAAACATATTTCACGACCAAATTTTGGAGATGAGGCCTTTGAAGCAGAAGAAAGGCGAATGGAAAGCATGACAGAACAAATCACATCAATGCTGGCACATTGTCAACGACTGATCAAGTGGGTGTCATTTTACCATCTCGAAGTTTCGACTTAACTCAATAACTTGCTTTGCTTTGGTGCTTTTGATGTTATCTTTTGTTTACTTTTCTCGAAGCCTTCCGAACTTCCCAAACTTTCCAAGTACAAATATGAAACGAGAATCCACCTCATTTCTCATTGGGGCACTGCTCTTCATGCAAAATGCAATTTTATCAGTTGACCGGTATCTGTTACATCATTACAACCACTGTAACTCTGAAGGAACTGAGGCTTTCGGCTCGGTTATATTACTGGTGCAAATTGTGAAGAATATGTCTTACATGACATTGTGATATCTTATCAGTCACTGAAAGTTCCTCTTCAAGAGGAACAAATTGCCACAAAATTGTCCAGATGAACGGGAGGCGGTCAGTGAGGTCCATCGAAGAGTTTCAAGAAGTTTTTGTGAATTTCAAAGAGCTGGCCGTAGCTGTTTCACCTCACTGATCTCATTCTCTTAACCACAATGAGCTTCGACGAACCCTCACTAATTTATTTCTCTGGAATTCTTCATGCAAAGCAACCAAACAATGGATTACGCATAGGATTAGATAACTTTTTCCTGTTGAATGCTTCACACTTGTGTAGCTTTAACATGATCGATATTGCTGCACTTTCGAATGTTCTATTTATCCTTAGACGAGAATTTGGCCGTTTTGAGAGAAGAAAAATTACAATTGCAAAAAAGGTGCATGTGGGGAAAAAGGTTAATTCAACGTTTCCGTACAATCGTCAATAGTGTCAATTTCATTGCTATTCATTTTTGATCTTCATCTCACTAACTATTTGGAACTGCTTTTTCTGGGATCGCATCTTTCCTTATTATCCTCTACTTCGCAGCCGCCAAAGCTGATTTAATTGTAAGGGATTATCTCAGTATTGATTTTTCAGCATGATCTCGTCACAAAATCCTCGTCAGGAGAACAACTCAGAGAGGAAACTTCGCGAAAACACGGTTTCAGCTTTAATCTTCACTCTCAGTCAGTTGACAAATGAGTTCCGCACACGTCAGTCCAAATACCTTAAAGATATTAAGGTTAGTCGCTCAAATATAGTCGAATTTGGAAAGCGTGTTTGATTTATGCAGTCTTCTTAACTTTGAGGTTGCTCTAGTCATTTTTTGTTCATTTATGTCCTTATTTACCCATATAAACGCGGCTATCAGCAAAATGAATAAGGGATTTAAAGCTCCCAAAATGGTTCAGCATTTTAGCCAATCATTCTGACGTAACCATAAACAACGAAGATGATACTCGAAAGGTACTTTAATACCCTCCTGCGCTATTGAAATGCATCGCCAATATTCCTGCAAACGCCGTTTTTGTATTATCAGCTGCTGATTATCTTATGTTTACATCGTAATAACAAATTTATTCGATTATTCAAGCAAAGTTTCTGAATATTTGGCAGAAAATTTTTAGCCGTATTGTAGAATCAGTTTCTACATTGATCGAAGGTGATGTAGTGGCAATTGGCGCGCTATCACAGACAAATGGTCGCGGGTTTGAATTCCGGATCGACAAACGCCTAGGCCAAGACTTCCATCCCTCCGGAGTCGGTTAATTGGTACCAGACTCGTCTGGAAGGATAAAAGCACTGGCTCGTACATTGGCTGGAAAGAGCGAGCCGTTGTACAGCCCACATACGCATTCAATACGCCACTACGAATCTGAATGGAAGTCGAGACGCTTCCCTCAGACGGGATTGATTAACGCCCCGAGGCTTTATCCTTTTATCCTTTAAGTTTTTGCATCGATTCTACGTCCCTAACTAGCCTCTTAGAAATCTGAAGCAGCTTCACATTCGAAAACGGAGGAAACCCACTATGCAGTGGATTTTTTTAAACAATTCCTGATTAGATTGTAATTTTATTTGCAATAACGAAATGCCTGGAAAAGGCCTGTACTAAGAGTTTTCTCGATAGTTTGTCTCAAGCTTACATTTTCTTGATTAGCGGGCACGGTACTGCAGTAAAGACCAAAGAGATCTGGTGGTAGTAGCAGGTAACATAATACAGTTATATGAATTGATGATTTCATATCTTTTGGTGACTTTTGTCAGCTCATTTTGTCCCTTTGTCTACCTAATTTCTGTCAGATTTGAAAGAGCACTCTAACTTTCATCACATCCGCACTAGATATTCACTTGCATAGGCTTGGTATAGTTGACAGACTTAGGTCAAATGTGAAGCACAGCTGTATTCCGACCTAATTCCTGATGTAAGTATTCTTACAGAATCGGACGAGCAATGTTGACAACTTCCTGGTCACCACAGGGCAGTCTGATGACTTACAGTGGGGCGAACTAGTTGACGTGACGCCTTCGCGAGAGTATACCATGGATCAAATCCAGCAATTGATGATGAATGAACAGGCAGTGAAGGAGAGAGAAAAAGAGGTGAGTTGTTCAGTCTTTGTAGCGGTTTAAGAAACATAATACGAATGAATTGATTTTTTTCCTTTGTTCTGGCGTATGTAATACACTAACGTACAGCTACCATTGAATTGTGCTCTTCTCATGCTTCTTTCTCATTATATCTTTTCTTTCCACTTCATTGGAACTTTCTTATAGGAGTTAGCCAAGCTCGTGACTAAATGAGGAAATCCTCGTAGTGAGATTCGGATGAATGACAATGTTTTATATGCAGCCTTAACTGCACCTAAGCTATTTAGTTGATGCATTTGGCAGAATCAGAATAGGGACTATGCAGGCAACATATTTGTCTGACTAAACAGTGTTCTGAATTGAGCAATTTCTACGTTTTACAATTCATATGGTGTATTCAGGTACTGGTCGTCAATTCATCTATTCGAGAATTGAATTCACTTTTTAAAGATTTGTCATCAATGGTCGTAGACCAAGGCACTATCCTCGATCGGTGAGATTTCGACTTCATACCTTGTCTATTCCAATGTTTTCATCAAGCATTGTAGCCCGCGAGCACTTCTTATTTGCCGTTCATTCCATCGCGTTGTTTCGGTCTACCAAAGCAAGTAGAACTTGTTGGAACAATTTGAAACCTTCTCAACCCCTACCCTCTGATTATTCATGAACGGATCCAACCGCAAAAAGCTACAGTTATTTTCAAGGCTAGGATGAGAAGGCCAGCCGTTTGTTTGTTTAATCATTTTCTCCCTACATCTAAGTTTTCGATCGATTCATCCAACCTTGAGTCTTCCAATTATTCTTGAGCCGTGGAGGTGATGCCTGGCCCTCCCAAGGAGGAAGTGGCAAGGAATCGCCTATTAGGTTGTCTGATAGTTGTTCGACAATTACATATTCAAGCTATAGATCGCACTTATAATGGAAATAGACGTATGTTCAACAAAATTGTCCATGACCAAATCTCGATCACGGTTGAAGGAACAGTCCTCCGCACTCTCTCTCTCAAAAGCTCTGAAAAACATGGATAAAGTCCTGCTGATAACGCAGAAGATATTCGAACTATATGTTTTAAGGATCGACTACAATGTTGAGCAAGCCTCGATTCGCGTCTCTCGCGCTGTGAGCAGTGTGCAAAAGGCAGAAAAACATCAACGTAACGACAAGAAAATGCACTGCATTTTCTGCCAAACGGTAGCCATCATTGTGATTCTCTTGCTAATTATTTTCACAAAACTTTGAATACTGTCGTATTTGTATACTACTTCTTTAAGTGTCTATTACGGAGTCAAGAGGCATGACTGATTTAATTAGTCAGAATTTTTTCTTCAAAATTTATCCTAGATAACTTCTTATCCTAACTTTCAATTACCAAAGTCGAAGGTGCAGTAGGTTGTGAAATTTAAGTAGGAAACTGATCAATAGCATATAGGTTCCGAAGCATCTCCATTTGTTCCCATTTAGTTGAAACGAGTGGGGATGAGGGGTGGAAGAGAGTAGGGATATAGGCAGGAGCTTCTCAGGATGTAAATCAAGGGCATCGAGGAGCCTATTTCTAGATTAGCTTTCATGTTCGATGAGGAAATGAAGTTCGTGGCGTTCATGTGAGCGAACAGTGGGCTCCAGCCTGATATCGCTAACCTTTTCTAATCTCGTGGTGAAGTTAGTCAAGAGAAGCTAAGATTGAGCGTTCCTGAGTTTCATATTCTTCAATTAGGCTGGTTGAGATCAGCAGCTAAGTCTATTATTACCTACTAGGAGATCCTTGTTATGTAACATTGAACGGGTGCATTTCGTCGTGAAAAGTTGAAATGAGTTTAAAGTTATTTCATAAAGTGTATAGATTACTACCTGTATCCTAGCGGTCTGTCTGTGTAGTTTTTTTTATACATTCTTGCCGGTTTATTTTCTTCGCTTTACTTTTTTCTTTGTGGTCATAGATTTCTGAATTGTAATGCCAAATTACATTATTGCCGTGTGTTGTCGTGAGCATATGCTAACGTATTTCTTTTGCTACGAGTAAAAGTACACATATCGTGCGCTAATAAACATTTAAGAAACTTTTCCTATTCTGATGCTTCCGGTTCATTCCAATCGTTGAATGTATTTGATTCGTTTTCATATTTTTTAGCTAATGTCATTTATTACTACTGTGAAAATACCAAGTTCGCGTTTCTGAGTACGATCCCATTCAGGGCAACTTCCAGGGTTGAATGACGTCATCCGAGTCGGGTTCAAACGAATCCGCCGGGGCGGGTTTCGACACCTCCATTTTTCACAAGGCAACAATCAGCTATGAGTACTTGCACACCAATAGGTACTATTCCATTATCTTGCTTTCGTTCCAGGATTTTCATTCTTGCTGTTTTATTTTATTCCAGCTCTTTCCATTTCAAAAGTGATTATTATTAAATAGCAAAACATCGGAACTTTTGATGTTCAGTAATGAGCGGCAAATTAATTTTTGTCAGAATGGGCGAAACCAAAAATGGTAGTGGTTCGTGGAGGGTAGACCCTTACCACATAGTACAATAGCCCTAATATCTAAAATTAGCCGTTGGTTGTGATTGCTCCACAATGTCATGGCAGGTCCTAACGGGTAATTTGGGCTATTCATTAAAAAGCAAAGGGGGTGCCCTCATGTTGTGAATGTTGCGCAAATTCTTTCTCTATGAGGAATGAAACTTCATGATATTTCGTTACTCTGAGTTATCGAAATTTTAGTACAACTCACGAGTTTGTCTACGGTGCGATAGCTGAGCTTGTAGATAACTCTCGAGATGCTATGGCAAACAATCTGCATATCGACTATGGTAGGTTTTTTCATCTCAAGACAAATGGTCCATTCTAATGTGGAGAGTTTTTCGTCTACTTTACACTTGTTATGCCATGTTTTCTTAAAATGGCCATGTTTCACGTGGTTTGTATTAGACGTGAGGCAGTGATATCAAATTTTAGCACCAAATGAGGAATATGGAGGTATGCTGTCTATACTTGACGATGGTTGTGGCATGGACAGAAAAGAGGTGAGCGTCAGGTTTCAACGGTCATTTCCTCATGAATCGCCAAAAATAGTCTGAACTTAACCGTACTCTTTAGGCCATTTCTGTAGTATCCTTTGGTCATTCCCTCAAAAGAATGGAGCCAGGGATGATAGGACAGTACGGAAATGGATTGAAATCGTGAGTGTAATATTCATAAATTGAACTTCACACGTTCAATCCAGACTGCTAAATAATTCCGAGTTGTATTTTAAAAATTTCTGCATTTTAGTGGTGCGATGCGTATCGCTAAAGATTTCATCATGTTTACGAAGAAAGATGGATTACTGACGTGCTTATTATTATCACGAACATTTCACGAGATGTACTCTTTGAAAGAAGTATGCTCCTACCGTAATTCCTGCTTCTATTACTTAAATATTATTAGAAACGAAAAACACTTGTTAGTTTGATGCAACTTTTCATGATCAAGAATATATCTAGGTTTTCGTACCAGTCGCTTCATTCACACTCGAAGGTGGTTCGCGTGCAATGTACTGCGATTCACAAACACAAGCAAAGATGGTGAGTATTCGTTTCTCTTTCTTGTACTCCTTAGCTTTCGTGTATTTTTCCGCCGCAGAACAAGTGAAAATAGGAGAGGTCGAAATCTGGAAAGAAGAAATAAAGGGCTTGAGAATTTCATTCATTTTTGATTTTTACTCTTGGGTGGAGAGCTGCTGGCTTTCTGCGATGTTAACTTCTCTCTGTAATCCAGTACCATGGTTATAGGAATTATTTAAAAAAATCTATTATGTCGCTGTCTCTTGTTTTGTAACTTCCTTTTCAATTCTCCGATTTTTGCTTCTGGAAGCTTTCAAATGCTTACTTACTGATGAATGAAGGTTCCCTTGTTACATTTGGACTAAGGTTTGAATGAAATCGCTTTTTTGCGTTGGCTTTGTCTTGACTTTGATAACTTTGGAACGCACTCCTTTTCAGCATTCTCAGTCGATGGACGTGATTTACAATTACACTCCCTTCGATTCTCAGGTAATTATATTTCACAGATTCTCGAACTTTTTTATTGCTTCCCTGATCGGCTTCTGGCTCCATGAAAAGCTAATTGCAGGATGCTCTTTTTGAACAGTTCGAACGCATCAGTAGCCCATCTGGCACCTTAATCGTGCTGTTCAACATGAGACGAATCGAAACTGGTGATTTCGAGCTGAACTTCGACACTCCTTATGATGTGCGGCTATCAAACTTTGAGGAGCAAAGGTATAACGTTGAGACTGCAACATGGTTTCTTTATGAAGATACAGTCTTTATCTGTATGGATTTCGAGTCATTTTTCTCACCCCTCTTACATGTTATTTTTGGTACTATTTTAGAGAAGAAGAGCGGAACTCTTTGAGAGCCTACTTGTCTGTACTTTATCTCAACCCGCGCATGAAGGTATAAATTCATCTTCAGAGCGAAAATACTGAATTTGGTTCTGAACGAATAATCGTTCAGGTCTATCTTCGTGGCAAAAAGGTTCTAACCAAAAGGATCCTTAGCACTCTACTATACCCGTATAAATATAATTACACAGCCAAAAACTTGAAAGCATGTGCCACAAAGGAGTTCGAGAGATGCGAGCAAAAAGTGAAAGAGGGTCAGTGTTACATAATGTTATTTTGCCCATTTTTGTGATCATTTATATTCGACTCCTGATCTCTCTCGTACTCGATGATATCATTTCTAGCGTATTATCTGCATCTAGCATATCAGCATACAATTATATCTTGAAAGCATAGCTTACTCGGCTTCCTTTGCTTCTTATTCCCTTGTTCCTTCTCTCGATGACTGCGGGCTCGGCTTCCTTTGCTTCCTATTCCCTTGTTCCTTCTCTCGATGACTGCGGGGTTATTCTATTGGTAAACCACGAACGACCGTCATTCGAAGCGTTGAGATTTTCAGTAAAAGAAATGCTTCGGATGTCGTCTTCAGCTCTGGGTGAATTTGAAGCGAGGCACCGTGGTCAAAATATCCACGCCAATAAAACACTCCGTATTGAGCAACGATTACTTGCCAAGTGGGTAATTCAAAATTTTTTGGACTACTTTCCGTGCATGATGCGGAAAAAACTAGTTAAATTGTCTGTTTAGGGCACGTGCCGATATGGAGGCAAAAAAAGAGCAAGCAGAAAAGCGTGCATCACTGGCGTTGAAGGTATGGTTATCGGGCAACTAGCTTCCTGTTTCGATCAATTTTAACATTCTTTTCAGGCTAAAAACAATCCCATCCCCTTAACTTTCTACTTTGGGTTGAACATTCATCATAGGTGCGTGTTTTATCACTTCAGCAATGAACTTGTCTATATTTTGAAGCACATCTTAAGGAACCGATACGGATGTATGTTATACAATAACGGTCGGCTTATTGAGATGTATGTGAAAACAGCGGTGCAGAAGGAGAAAAACGATTTGATGATGTGAGTGCAAATAGTTGAAAGTTAACTAGCGAAAGAGTCCTCAACGGAGCAGTCGATTGACTCTCGTACTTTATGTTCTATTCAGAAGTAGTTAAACATGTCCATCGTCCTTCCATGAAATCGTTTTTTCGCTTAAAAAGTTTTATTAAGGAAATGCCTTGGTGTTGTTGGAGTGGTGGACGTCCCGTACTCTATCTTGGAACCAACACATAATAAGCAAAGTTTCGAGAATAAAAGGTAAGTGTGCAGTCTCTCCTTCTCGCTATTTTCTGTTGCGTGTAGGTTCGTTATCACCTTGTTATTGAAGCTGAATCTTCCACTAATTATTTAATATAGTCAATGGTTTTACGTGACTCTAAACTTTTACCAAATCTTTCTCGCTTGTGGAGCTGTCTTGCTTGTTTTCATTGAGCTTTCTTTTCTACAGTCTCACATCGAAACAAATCATTCAATATTGAAGGCTGACATGCAACTGTGACTTTTTATATCTAATAGTTAGTCTCCTAAGCCTTCCTGACCAACTAGAAAATACTGCTGCACGGCAGGCAAATCTTTCTGGAATTGTTGAGTCACTTGCTTGCAATTTTGCATAATGGTTTCCTGATTGTAATTGTCGTGTGCTGGTGGAAATGTTCCATTCGTTGTTCAGAGAGTACTTATCATTGCTTCGCGCTATGAACGATCACATGGAACAATATTGGAAAGACATCAATCTAGCTGGCAGTGATGGTCCAAGTGGCATTAAGTCGTTCTGGTAAGTGGGTTGTGATTCAGGTGCCGTGTTTGTGAAAGTTCATTTCACGTAATTTATTAACATCTCATAGGGTTGACATGGCTCACCCACTCAATCATTGTTACACATCAACTTAATTCCAATCTCTTCGCGTTAAGCTGTTTGTCACTTGTTGATTGCAGGAAGAACTTCGGTTACGAAAACTCAGACTGGAGTTCAGAATGCACAAATCTGGCAGAGCATCGAAAAAAGCGTTATCTTAGGATTGGGCACACCATACAGTGCGGTGAGACTTCAACCTTACTTTGATTGGTGGCTTGCTTTGTAATATCTTATCCTCTTTCGCCTTGTTTATGCTTAGTCAAAATGACTAAACAGCTCACTTCAAAAGGTTTTTTCCGTAAGTTTCCATCTTTCAATTCAAGTAGAATAATAATTGTTGAGAAACTTTTATAAGATATTTCAACAAGTTGCAGTTCAGATAAGTGCTTGAAATGGCGCCATGTTGAGTATCATGCTCCGTACGAGATCAGTGGAATTCCTGAAAAGTGGTGTTGTGATGATCATCCTAATAGTATGTTCAGAGGATGCTCGAGACCAGAAGAGACCCCAAAGGTATAGGCCTTTCTTTATAAATGGAAATCGCCGGTAAACTATTTCACTAACAATAAGTCGATAGTACACAAATCTTACTTTTCAGCTGAAAGAAGGCAAGCTAGTGCGGCAGAAGTCACCGGATCCACCAGCGAAAAGCAGTGGGACGTCAATTGTCAGTATACGATATATGCTTTGAGTTTTCCCCTTTACAATATACATATTTCTTTATGATTGGACTTGAAATATTGTTCAGAAAACTCGGGAAGTTTTAGGGCATGTCGACAGTTTCTGGTTTTCAACACCCGAGATTTTTGTAACCATTGTGCCGATTTCGGTGCTTCCTCGGTACTGAGTAAGCTTGACTTTCGACGGTTTTAGGGACGAGGTGTGGAACGTAAACCAGATTTCCCCAATCGCGGTACTCCACTTGCTGCGACGAACGGTAGTGGATCAGCTCGACGGCCAGCCACGTCAGTATTAGCAACGGCATCAGCGCAGCGGAACAAAGAGGTGAACGATTACTCCACTTTTCATAGTACTTGTCATCGTTGTATATGTTTTAGTTGTTGTGATTTATTGCCGATAAAGTTTTTTTGTAGATGTTCCTAGATATCGTAGAAATTTTGTTCTCGAATGCAGGGATGTTTAGAATTGTGTTTCGTTGAGCACTGTGTCGTAACAGTAAATGAGTATCGGTTAAGGTTCAACGACGACCGCCATCCCCTCCAGTCTCATCAAAACCGCTTAAGCGTTCAGCTCGCGTTGCCCAACGAAGGGAAGAGTCAACTAGTGAGTCCGAGTCTAGCCCAGAAAGGCCACCACGAAAGGTGGCCAACAAAACATATGGTTCTCCAAATAAGGTAAATATAATTAAACGGTTCGAAATGTTGAAAAATACCTTTACTCATTAATGATATCCTTTGCAGTCATCAGAGCGTGTCAGTGCTGTAGGTCGGCCGCCTACAAAACGTGCGGCAGCTGCTATTAGCGCCTCCAAAAACCGCCGAGTGGTTTCAAGCGAGGAAAGCGATGAGGAAGAGCCAGTTACGATACCGGATTTGGTTAGCATCATTTTAATCATCATTGTCATGTGCTCAGTGCTTTCTTGAAATTAACAATTCATATAAGGCCATCGCTTGTGTTCCGGTATAGCTTTCGTATCATTGCTTATTCTTCGTTACAACCATATCACTCACTATTTCGGTTGCACTGTTTTAGATAGGGTTTTTATATAATCAACTGGAGAAAATACATTATTCGTTACAGATCACTGAACTTATTCATAACAGTACCATACACTGCACTGAAATTAACAATTTTGCATTTTAGCCGAAAAAACCGAAAACGAAAGCGGATCTGCGTCGTCAATATGAGGAGAATGAGAAATTAAGTGAAGTAAAGAAAGCCGTTCTTTTGGAAGCGAAAAACGCCGCAGCGGCAGCGAACAAGGGTATGTTAGCTTGAACCATCGCCGCCAATCGTTACTTTCATTGAAAACATGAGGAAAAAGATAAGTCAAAGTGGAATTATGGACCAGTGGTTAGAGTCGAAACATCTTCCTTAGAGTTCCTTTTCTTATTTCGCTCTTACTTCAGAGTCAAAGGTGCCTACGTCAGCACCAGCCGCCCAGCCATCCACCCCCACCATGACGAAGCCGTCCACTTCCGCTACGAAAACTTTCACCCCGAAGGAACAGTCCGTGGCGACGGCACCAGTAGCACCGCTTTCCAACGGCACCCTTGTGAAGGGTGCTATTGACAAGGAAACGGTACTGAGATTCTTCATCTGTTTCGGTTTTTTGAGCAGTTTTTTTTTCTACGAAAGGCACATCAGGATTCCTTCCCTATGGAGTTCAAGGCATTGATTTGTAAATGATTTAGTTCGAACGGGAAAAGGAACGGGCCGATAGAGCTGTTGGACAGACACGCAAATTGCTGAACTTCTTTTTGAAGCAGGTTGGTTTTCGTGATTTATTTACAGATATTTTCATTTTTAATTAGGCTGAAATTAGTATCATGTAACGAGGTAAATATTAGTAAACGGCTCTGAATGTTGAAAATTCCCTTTATTTATCAATGATATCTTTTGCATCAAGTAAGCTGAAGTTGTTATGAATGAATTACAAGGAGTTGGGCTGATGGCTTTGTTGTTTTCTCAAGGCTGGTTTGATCAGAGAAATGATCCTTGTTCTCTTTACAAGAAGCTGCAAATGCCGCCTCCGGTCTCTTTACATATTAACAGTCTGACTAGCTTTTGTCAAAAAGTGGCTTCAATATGTTCCCTCTGACACTTGATTTTTTACTGATTATTCCTTCAGGGGGTTTCATTCGCGGATCGATTCCGACGAATGGGTGATGAGGAGTTGCTTGAACAAGACGTGGAGCAGTTTGGCAGGAACTTATGGGAGGAACATGTGCTAAAGGTGTCGAAACGTGTGTCACTTTAACAATTTTCTGTATTCATAAGTCATGGTTTAGATCTGTCGTGAGCGAGATGAATTGCGTATGCTTCGTCGAAGCGATAAAGAGCAAATGCGAAAATTATGCGAAGATGAGTTCCGTTCGGAATTGACGATCATCCTTAAATGGGCAATGGTGAGTACTACTGAGAACAACATAAGAAGGATGTAATAAATAGCTGCGCCTGAGAAGGATTCGAGTTTGAGGATGCCTAATATTACGCGTCGAGCTTTCCCGAGCTTTTCATCCTTACTTTGTATCAAAAGGCTGAATAATGAGAAATTTTGTATTGGTTTGAAGTACCACAATACTATGGCAGTTTTACGTTTGTTTTTTGATGTCGGAACTGCTTCGAAAATTTGAAGGCCGCTAATGTCAATTCGGGCTTGAGGCAAAATTCTGTCAGTGGTTGGAGTTTCGGCTTGTGATCGACCTAGTTCTTTGCATCTGTCACGGTGAATTTTATTGCCAGCAAAGAAGGGGAATTGACAATTTGGACTTCGACGATAGGGAGGACAAACTGAAGATTTAGGTAAAGGCTAATTCATTTGTCGATCTAATAGATTTGAATTTCAGCCAGACGACGTGGTAACATATGAGAATTGCTTCCAAATGAAGGATAAGTTGATCGGTATGCTGAACGCAGATCCAGAAGAAAGTGAGGAGTTGTCTCAGCAGTCAGAAGTATTCGTCCCAGAATCACCCCGTGCTGATTCTTTGACGGAATAATTAGAAGAAACCATTCATCAAATCCTGTCGAGGACTAAGAAACTTTATCGGGAAAGTTTTCCAAATGCCTAGCCTTATCTTGCCACTTTTATACCTCTTCCAGCATCAAATATGATGCACACATTGATTTTGCGCTGCGGTTTTGGTCTTATTGAAACGTGTTTCAAAATAGAGGAGTTTGCGTACTTGGCTAGCGGTCAGTCATTACCGTATTGGCTGGTGAAAATGTCCCGTACACTGCTAAACAGGAAAGATAGTGAGGGATGCGTTAACTAGCTGGACGCTAGTGGGGAAGTACGTATCACTTGGGAGCACACTACTACTGCGTATATGTGCAGATCTCTTTTTACTTACAAAGTTCGGTGCTATTTATATTGGTGTAGTCAGCATTATAGTAGCTTTTTTTTGAAAGTCTTATAATCCATGACAAATGTTAAACAATACCTACCGTCCAACCATATTACCACTTGTGGCTGTACTTTGTCATGACTCCTGGCAGCTCTTCTACCACATTTACTGGCTGGACTCATTTATACTGACTGGCCAATATGCATCATCTTGAAATTGCTTATACAATTTTTCTTCATCTGTTCCACCCGCTCTTTCCTACCAACTGACTTGTTATCAACCTCCTAGCGTACATCCTGGTTCAGAAATCCATAACAAATCTGGGAATCTGTTCTATAGTCCCTTTCTTTTTTTAGTATCTATGCCTTCAACCCTTGTTCGATTTAACGGCTTTTCGTTAAGTGTAGACCAGCCTTATACATTCATTCTCCTCTTTTCGGTCAAGCAAAGAAATAATGGAGTTGAACTGAGGTTTCAGATGAAGCCATCTGAGGGGAGGTTAGGCTGCAATACCGTAATATAGACCGACAGGGAGTTGTATGCAGTGACAGATGGTGCTCACAGTAATAGTGCAGCCATGTTTGGTAGGCTTTGGTTGGTCGAACATATTCACAATCAATCGATTTCCATTTACATTAGGTTTAGATGTTAGCCCTTTGTTTGTTTCAGTATTTTTGAAAAAAAGTTTTATTTCATTGTTTTCTTTTTTTTTGAAATGTAGCTGTTGAAAAACGTAACCCTTATCAGGTCTATGCATTCATTTCACTAGTAAGCAAGTTTTAAAACGGCTTCATATTCCCTTTGTTTGTTTCTCGTTACCCCCGCAAAGCTGTCAATTTTATCATCAAACATTATTTTTATCTTCAACTGGGCTGCGATATCTTTTCCTAATCATCATTCCTTATTAACTGGTCATGTTACCAGTAATGAAGAGATCTTCTGCTAAGATATGCAAGGTCGAAATGTTTTTGTGTGTGTATGACACGTCGTGCCCTTGCTCTGGTTGGATCTGATAACAGTTACAGGACTACGACATCCTACCTTGTTATGTGTATTTTCACTGTGAAGGTTTTTTATTGCTTTAATTGTATCTGTGAGGTTGATTTGATCACTTGTTTGTTTTTTTGCTTACTATTCTTTGATTGGTGTTTACACTTCTTTGATTGGTTTTTTTTTTCAGAATTAACGTCGTTGTCTCCTGCTTTTCTCTTAGGTACCTTCTTTCTTTGTTGTAATGCATTTACAACAATTTGTACGACGTTGATCTCCAATATTATCGATCTAATCAGTCTCGTACGCAGCCCAGTTTTGGTGGATTTTCATGAACGTTGTCTTGATTGATTTGTTGTTAGTCGACTTTTCGATTTACTTCTATCCGTCTATGATGTCATGCTTTAGTCCAAATGTATTTGTAGTCTATCCTTAACTAGTTTTATATAGTTATGATACATAGTACACGTATTGGCGGTCAGCCTCATCACATCGAAATTTAAGGTCCTCCATATGAGGAGATACTCATTAGCTCGACATCTCAGCATACAATGAGTCAGATTGTACAGCTGTTGTTTATTTACCAGCGATATATTTTCGTTTTACTTGAATAAATCAATGAAGTTGTGCTTTTTTATGAGGTTTCTGAAGCGTAAACCGGTGTGTCTACTTGACCATTCATTACCTGCGAAGAAAGACAACGGCTATTCTTGCCTTTATCGAGTTATATTGACAAAAATCAATTTTGACCCTGGTGATTGATGTTGATTGGGATTGATTGAATATTCTTTTGAGTAATTCGTGTTGACAACCGGTTGCACATTTCTAGCCGTTATTGTATTTCGTTCCATCTGATTTTTTATCAAATTTAACCCTTGTTCAGGAAGATAGGGAGTGTGATGAGAAAGTTCATTGAAGTGGATGAATTGTTTACTGGGACTGATTGGATTATTTGTTGAGAAGCCAATGTTGAAACATGGTCATACATTTTCGATCATTTTCGATTTTTTTATGGTCTGATTTCTGAAAACGTTTGGAGAATCAAAAATGGTTTCTTGCTCAAAAAGGTGTGTAGTCCGGTGAGGAATACTGTCTAAAGTGTGGATTATAGCGAGCAAGGTAAAGCCTGCGAGTTAACCCAGAGTCGTTTCGGCTGTACACAAATCAAAAATAGAGTCCTATGTTTAGCTTGAGGTTGTGAATTATCGCATATCACAGGCTCGTCCAATTTCCTTAGGCACTGACCATACTTACAGAAATGTTCTTATGATTGCAACAATTTCCCACACTTGTGGTAAGTTGGTTTCCGTGGTCAGCTCTTGCTCGTTTAGTCTTTTTCTTACAATTTCCCTGATTTTGTAAGAATTTTGTGAACTTTTTCTGTGATAATAGGGTTTTTATTGTGGTACCCATGTTTTTTTTACATATCCTCAGTAGGCTTGTGAGCGACTTGTTTCCCCTTCGGAGATGCTTTGCTGCTCTCGAAATCTTTTTGAGTTTTCTAGTTTAATAAGAATCACGGTCTTCTTATGCTTACGTGACACTCTCTTCAAGTTTTGGATGTTATCTGGCTCTTTGATGTTTTGCGGTGGGCTCGATAATTCGGGAATTGAATTTTAGTGGGACGATAGGAAAGATTGTGGATGTGGAGGATCGAAAAGGACTCTTTCGGCATGGCTGGTCAAAGAAGGTTTTTGAGAGGTTCAGACTTTAAAACCGGTAAAAATGGTTATGGGCAGAGATATCGCAGTTGCTAGGATAAGCCGAGGTGATGTCCACGGATCAGATGCCGCTAAGTTAACCATGTATCTCTCCCGTTGATTGGAGGAGATAGACTAGGTTGTGACCACTTCCCATAAAAGTTTGGTCAATTAGCTAGTGATTTGCCGTGGTGCTACCCATTCATTATGAGGACACAGTGTACATTCAAAATTTGTACGATCTTGTCTAGGAGTCCATTAGATGGCTCAGCCCATAGGTTTCTATCAACAAAACTGTCTTCTGTTATTCAATGAATCAATACTTTTCGAAGGAAATATTTTCGTTCTGTACATATGCTCGAGCAAAAATTATTGTTCACCAGTCGTTCTTTGTAGACGGCTGTTCATTGTGTTCCAGTCATCGTTACGCGATTACTATCTCGGTATGTCGTCTGGGCGATCCAGTACGATTAGATTTCGCCCACCTGGCCACTGTACCAAACTGGTCACTACATCGTCACGTATGTTTTGCTAATCTGATACTTTAGACACTTTCACCCAGTTCGAAAATGAGATTACTGGCAAATTTACTGCTGATAGCTCCACCCAATGTAGGCGGGTCTATCTAGCCAGCAGGTTTTTGTTTCATTGTTTCCTGTCACAAATAGCTTGCCCAATACCGTATCGTCGTGTAATACGCCCCGAATTTTCGTGCTCACTTTTATTTCATCTAAAATTTCACTTTTTTGTCACTCATGAAAGTCAATAGTTTTCCGAGAAGTTTAGTGACTAATAAACTAACAACGAAACTTCGAATTTAACAACAGAATAGGGTGGATGCCCTCAGAATGTTTCCAGGGTTTTTAGCTTTTCCAGGTTTGGGTATTTAAATTGATTATTCTCTTTGCAAAGTTTCCTCCTCTTTGTGACAAATGTCATTCTTGGCCTGATTCTCCAGTTATGTTTGTGCCGGGCTGACTCTGACTCTCTGATCTGCGTTTAATAAACATATAAGGAAACGAAACAAAATAGATTTTTCAGTCATTCTCTGAGGTTATCACTTTATTTCGTCAACTGGGAATGTTTTTGAATGGCTAATTATCGATACCGTGTGATCGGTAATTTGATTTGACGGCTTGAGTACAGGCAAGGTGGTGCGATTTGTGGTTTGTAGTCTGTTTCTGTGCCCGTGCGTGTGTGTGCTTATAAGCCTGTTTTTCTGCTCGTTTGAACCATACCCATTCAATGTATAGGTGCCCAAGTGGTTTCCCACGTACATACATATATCGCCCTTGATCAATAATTCAATGTGTCTTTCTCAACCGTAATAACTTACGCGCTAAGCACCGGTCATCTACACAGTAACAGAAAAAGACCACTTCATGCCTATGAAAACCAAAATTTTACAAAACAATTGTTGTTTCTCGATTGCGTTAAGTTTACTAAAATTATCCACCCATCATTTCTCCTTTGTCAAGTGCTGATTGCACAGCAGTGCCGATTTTCTCGCAACACTGCTGATCAGTCACTAGCTTATCGGATTCCGCTCAAAGCACGAACCGAAACCCGTTAACATAGATATGAATTGGTTCAATTATATTTGCTTATGTGTCATCTAAAAGACAGTAATTCATGGCCGTACTGGATTGGCATTTACGATGCTAGAAACTCCATGAGCTTTGCGAGTTATGTACGAAACTTTCACCTATGACGAGTTTCGCACACATACTCTTGATTTTCGGGCATGGTATAGTATTTATTCCTTACACACTCAGGAATCGTCGAAATGGGTGTCGCGGATAAATGAGAATATAGGAGAGGATCCCTTTGTACTTCTCGAAATCTCTATGTAGGGAGTTAGTTGAACCATGATCGGGGTATGCGCTCATTTGAATGGCTCTAAAATTGGTGACCTTCGAGATGAAGACAGACCAATTTGGGCTTTAATGTTAACAGTTAGAT